TGCTAAGTTTCTTCTCTGTCTCTCTGAATGAACAGTTCGTTGCGTTTTCTACTAAACCTCTGCCTCAAACATCATCTTATCAAATCAAGTCATCTTAATTCTCTGTTTGGTGGTATAACTAAAAACCACATAGGTTTCCCTTTAAAGAACCTTGATCTTAGATCTAAAAAATAGTGGCCGGTTTAATTTATCAATACCAGGAACCCTTCTCAGTTTCAGTTGAGTTAGGAGGCGTAGATTTATTCCACTATAGAACAGCTATCCTTCCACAGGAAAGTAAGACTGCAGTAAACCTTGATTATAAAACAAATAAACAATAAAAAAATACTATTCCTTTCTTTTCTCCTTTTCTTTCTCTCTCTCTCTTTTTCTCTCATTCTAGTTGTATTTCTTTATCCCCTTGAAATACACCTAGAATTGCCCCCCTTTTCTTGTGTCCTGCTGTCACTTTTGAGACCCAGGCTCACAATTGGGAGCCTCATCGGGAAATATATATTCCTTTAGAACTCTTATAATCATACTCTCAAACTCTAATCATCATTCATCAGGCCTCTAAAAAAAAAAAAAAAAAAAAAACTCTCGTAAAAGCTTCATTTACTATTTCAAAAAAAAAAAACTTTAATTCTCAAAATTCCATTGCGAAGCGCTCGAACATTTTTCCTCTTTTTCATCGCGGAGCGCTCGCCAAATTTTTTTTCTTCATCTCAAAAACCCAAATATTTTTCTCTCACTACGCGCTTCAATCTATAAGCCGTCAAAACACAATTGATCGTTCCTAACGCTCTTGATTGTTTCTTTCCTTTCCGACTTGTCGAAATATCTTGTCACATCTGCGAAGTGAAGATTAACAAACGCCTCATACCCGATTCTCCACTCAAATCTACGGATATCCTATCTTCAGATCTCTCTTCGATCCCATCGGACTCAGAGGAAGAAGATGATCTTTTAGAAAATCAAACTCTAGCTCCTCCAAAGGAAGGAAATCCTATTTCGTCAATTGAGTGGACCCCGATTGCCACTTCCGCTACCTCCGGAAATAAAAAACAAAAGGAACAGAAGCCTTCTCGTGACACAGAACCCAAGCGATTTCCAGATTGGACGCCAGAGATATCCACGTACCTCTCTAAGAAGCAGAAGCCCCATATAAAACCGAGTAAGAAGAAAAAACAAGGTACTTAACTTTCTCTGAAAATTTTCTTCGGTTCAGCTACTCAATCAATAGTGCAAGAAATAGACTGTCAGCTTAAGAAAGAAAAACTAATCCGTACTCGTTCTCTTGACTGGACTATCACAGCCACAACCGCTCATTCAGACAAGGAAAAGGTTACTAGACAACGTCAGAGAAGGAATATGACAGGTACTGTCAAAACCTCCCTAGCTTTCAGACCCCAGTATTACTAGATCAATCGATCCCCCTTCCTACTTATATTGGAACCAGAGATCTAACCTGAATACGCTACCTTTTTCTCTTATTCACGATGGGCGCCCATTTAAGAAATGGACATAAAATCTCTATTGAGCAACAACAGCGCAACAACGTCCTTAGAAGAGCCCAGTCTAGAGGCGAACAACCTACAAGCAAGACCGAGCGAGACAAGCAGGCTCAGCGAGAGACCGACCAACCGCTCGACGCCGGAGATAGAGACAGACCTGCTGGACTACAGCAAGGCGATGACTCAAGATACCGACTTAGTGCCGCAGCAACGGAGCGACTTCGCAAGCTTAAGCTCCAGTCTGCCTCCGATCAACGTAACCGGCACGAGAAGAGCAGCGGAGGGAGCGCAGTGGTCGGAATTAGGTGTCTCTCCAGCCCTCATCAACTCGCGAGCAACCTCACTGGCATTGGAGACAATGTCCAATCGGTCCACCCCAGTACCACGCCCGCTAGAACACCAGAATTTCGCGATCTCTACGAATACCGCAACAGGGTTTCAGATTCAATCTCCGACCCCTCGTCAGCCAAATCAGACCCTTATCCCAGTGATGGATCAATCCCAGGCCCCGGATGGCCAGGAAGACATCATAGTGGACAACGAGCAACTAGAGACGATCATCAACTTATTCAACGATCAATGGCTCATGTTCGTCCAAGCGAGAGAGCACCAGAACGTTGTGGTAGCTGAATGTGTAAAAATTCAAAGTTTTTTATTATTCTTTTTATCCCTCTTTTTTCCTCTACATACACTCACAAATCACTCAATATGGCTCAAGAAATGGATTCTACACTCAATTTCACCCTTGGTCACCACTGGATGCGTCACTGGAACTCAACTGGATTGGAAGTTACACCCTCTGGACTCTCACACCACTCACTTACACACCTCAACAACATGTCAACACTCAATCACCACCAACACATCAACAATTACATATCACACACTATACATATGCACATTGCAGGACAACTACACTCTCTCACCAGCATAGTACATAAGTATACACACCACTCCACCATCTTCTGACATATTGACACATGCAGTGTTAGTGTAGTACCACTCTGGATTTACAAGTGACATCATGCAGGCCGTCATGTCATTTGTTATTCTTCCTTGCAGCTGTCAGACTATCTCACACCACTCATGTAATCTTCATCACCCCATCTTAGTTTGCAGACTAGTACAATCACCTCATGTAGCATGCTACACCAGCATAAAACCCTCATGTAGACTTCTAGTTCAAGCTAAAATGACTCTTATGACATCATGTAGGTTGCTCAACCAGCCAAAATACCTCATGTACATGTCCTGACTAGCTAAATCCCCTCATTGTAAAGCTCTGGCCAGCTAAAATCTCTCATTCTCTTGCTCCCTTGGAGCCAAAATCCCTCACCTTTGTGTATTTAAGAGGCTCTCCTCCCAGTTGTTTTTCCCCTCAGTTTAGTACCCACAAATCACATACCCCCTACCATTACATACCATACCATTAACATTACATACTGTAACAACCCTTACAAACACCCTATAACAACCCTTACACTTGTAATACACACTAAACTCACTCTCATACTCTCAAAACCTCTTCTCTCATACAATTATATTGCGATCAAACAACTTATTCTCGAGCCAACCACCCCTATCACTTGATTAAAGCTTGCCAAGCTGAGCTTGGTGGGTCTTGTTATCTGATAGTACAGAAGGCAGAGCTTGCAACTCCACCATATCCTTCAACATTCAGCAAAAGGGTTCTCACAACCACTTTTGAGTCTTAAAAGGGAGTCCCCAACGTGATAGGGATTCTTTGTTTGATCGACATTGATTAACCAAATTTCAGCAAGAACAAGAAGCCATCGTCAAAGGATCACAACTTCTAGCGGCGAATGGATCAACTTTATCAACCTCATTTTGTATCACTCAACGGCATATCCAGTTATTCTGTTGACTAACCAGTTATCTTCATAAACCATTCAACAAAAACTACCATTAATCTCCTGAAAAAGAACACTTACTAACCTTGAATTAAACCATAAGAATTTTTACAAACCAGACCTGAAAAGAGTACCTCGAAGGAAACAGCCAGTTATATACCTTAAGAAGGGCAAAGAGACCTGAAGGATTTGGATAACTAGGATCCTGTTAGAAGAGATCTCCGGAACTATTTGAAGGAAGCAGCTGCTTATATCCCAGAAGAAAGGTAATAGAGACCTGAAGAATTTGGATAAGTAGATCCTGTTAGAAGAAGAAATTCCCAGTTACTGCTAAGTATTTTATATATATAAACCCCCCCAACTTGCCCTGGTGAAGACACCAGCGACCATAATTGTTTTGCTTTTCAGAAGACCAAATAGGAAAGTTTCAAAGGAATGCTATATCAAGAAAACCTGGAATAATCAACAGCAATCAACATGAACATACTGTTTGGTGTATCAGATATGGAAGAATTATTTGCTCCACGAACCAATTTTCGGAAACGACCTTTTACACCAACTTCAAATTTAAACCGGAATGCGGAAACTAAAATGTCATCAACAACACCATCACCACCTTGGATGAAGAACACAAAACCAGGAAATCTGAATTTAACAGTGCCACCTATATTCAGAACTGGAATCTTCAAGACTCAAGATACGGATGAACCAATTTGTCAACAACCAAAACAACAAGAACCAATTTGTCAACAACCAAAACAACAAAAACCAATTTATCAACAACCAAAACAACAAAAACCAATTTATCAACAACCAAAACAACAAAAACCAACTTATCAACAATCAACAAACCAACCCAAACTAATTCTCATTGAGCAACCGGGAATTTTTTACGACGGATACCAATTCATGCAGTTCTTGAGGCAATACGAAAGGACGGCAGATACACTTAATGCAACCAAATACGATTGAGCTCTACAGATTGGACGGTTTGTGCGAACTGAAGAACTGAAGTGCCAAATCGAGGCCATGGACGGATACGATGAATGTGACTGGGATACTCTGAAAGTCTCAATGATTGAAAGCTGGGGGGAATTTGACAATATAACTTCATATACAACCACCAATCTAGTCAACCTGGTAAAAGAATTTTCTAGGGATGATGAGATATTAAGCTACAAAGAATTTCAGATTTACCTTCAAAAGTTTTCAGAAATTCTTGATTATCTGGTCGAAAATGAAGATTTTGATAGTGAACAGGATGTCTCACTCCTTTTCATCAGTGCATTTCCTCATCAGCTTAAGACAAATATCAAACAGACTTTAATCAACAATGGTCAACTTCCACAAGCTCCTGATGGATCCCAATCACCTCCTCTTTTGAAACATGTAGCTGAGGCTGCTGAAAGGGAGATCAGATTGGAAGAAGACTATTGCAACTATTTACGTACCTTGGAAACTCCGGTAAACCACTCACCAGAAGTCACACCATCAATATCAGACTTGGCCAAACAGCTTGATTCAGTCAAACAACAACTTCTGGAGGTACAATTGCCTGTTGAATGCAAAGCTCCACAGCTGTTTGTCCCAATGGAACCAACAATCAATTATACGGAACCAACAATCAATTATACGGAACCAATGATGGATTATACGGAACCAATGATGGATTATACGGGACCAACGATGGATTATACAGAACCAACAATGGATTATACGGAACCAACGATGGATTATACGGAACCAGTAATTGAAACAGCATCTACAACAATCAACCAACCGGATCTGGTGGAAGAATGGAAAGCGGCATCAGCAAACGTAATGGACACACCCATGGAACTTGCACATACAGTGATTGAAATACCAGAAACGGTGCTAGATGGACTGGATACGGAAAATAACGTGGATCATGAAGAAATATTGGATCAATCTGTTCAACAAGTCAAGGAATTGGATCAGTCCACCCAGCTCAACAAAAATTATGTGAAATTCCTCCTTACAGAAAATCTAGCAGAAGATCTGGAATTTCCTCAAGTCTCAAAATTCCTTTGGATTCAAAATGTCAACGCACACCAACCAAAGCTCTTTAACAAACAGCTTTTTAAACCTTACTTGGACGCATACAGATTATTTGAAGTTTTCAACAAAATTCCTCAACATCTTGAACACAAGACTACAGAACCTGAGGAAAATGAAGAAACCCTTGTGATTCCGCCGGCACTGGGTCCATCACATAATTCAACAACAATCAAAGCTATACTGGAAACAGAAATTCAACTCGATTCAGTAGTGGAAGATTTGGTCATCAGTCTCTCTCACTTTATATCACCAAATATTTCACTTTTCAGATTTCAATTATTCAACAAACTCATTTTTCAACTACTCCTGAAGATTCCGCCAGACCGCTTTGGACAACTGTATACCACATTTAACAGCCCAAGAATCCTTGTTGGAGTTGGTTAAAAATTTCTCAACAATTCTCTTTCCCTTTTTTTTTTCCTTTTCTTATACTTACAAAAACAACAAAAAAAAAAAAAAAAAAAAAATAGGCTACCTCCTGGGCATTAGGATAAACTGTTCAAACCTCAATTCAGAAACTCAGAGAACCTACAAAAAAAAAACTAACAAAAACCTTCATGAAAACATACCCAGATAAAAACCAGAATCAATCAATATAATTGGCTTCATTTTTTTAAGTCGGGGGAGGAAACTCACCTGTACTTGGGAATATGGGGTTAAAAATTGCTCTCAAGCTGGGGGAGGAATCTTCCCATCTTATTTCCATCACCCTTCTTTCTTTTTTTTTTTTCTTCTCATTTGGACTTGAAAAGGATCCACGGCTAGCATAGTTCCTCAACCGGTCTGTGGTGGCACCTCAAGCAAGAATCCAAACACAACAGGTGGAACCTACGTATGTGTCGAAGGACCGGCCTTGGCGACGGCGTTTGGCAGGTGGAAGGAATCTTGGGTCAAGCCTCATAGCTGCTCTCTGCAGTAACAAAAGAAGATGTTTTTGACCAAGGATCTTAACGGTCAATCCGATTCAAATATTCGAAGGAGTTGGAAGTTGTTTTTTGTGAGGGATGTAGTGGTACCGGTGTTAAATTCTGCTGCATCGACCAACACAGAAGATATTCTCCTTGGATTCTATCAATCATTACAACCCCTTGCTACTGCATATCTACATATGTTCAAGGGCCGCGGGCACTTGAACTCTGGTCTGGAACGGCGCACACGGCCTGGAGCACGGAGCGCAAGGCGCACGGGGATTGGAACGAGTATCAGAACCCCAAAACCCCCAATTGGAACTCGAGCGCGACCTGGATAGGATTAAGTAATCTGCTACAGCTTCTACGACTACTCGACGTCACCTGCTGCAGACTGCGGACTGCGGACTGCGCATACTCTCTCATATAAAAAAAATCTTACACCCCTCAACAATTTCCAAAGAAGGAGGGTTTTGTAGCCCATTTTTGGCTAACTAAGAAAAACTGAAAACACCCTGACCCCAGGTGGAAGTAAGAACAGCCTTATGCAGATTCTACACAGGATGATGCAACCCCAATGAAAACCCATTCAGCCACTTTCTTTTGTGGAATTGTCTGGGGACAGACAATAAGTTGGGGGAGGATGTGGTAGCTGAATGTGTAAAAATTCAAAGTTTTTTATTATTCTTTTTATCCCTCTTTTTTCCTCTACATACACTCACAAATCACTCAATATGGCTCAAGAAATGGATTCTACACTCAATTTCACCCTTGGTCACCACTGGAGGCGTCACTGGAACTCAACTGGATTGGAAGTTACACCCTCTGGACTCTCACACCACTCACTTACACACCTCAACAACATGTCAACACTCAATCACCACCAACACATCAACAATTACATATCACACACTATACATATGCACATTGCAGGACAACTACACTCTCTCACCAGCATAGTACATAAGTATACACACCACTCCACCATCTTCTGACATATTGACACATGCAGTGTTAGTGTAGTACCACTCTGGATTTACAAGTGACATCATGCAGGTTGTCATGTCATTTGTTGTTCTTCCTTGCAGCTGTCAGACTATCTCACACCACTCATGTAATCTTCATCACCCCATCTTAGTTTGCAGACTAGTACAATCACCTCATGTAGCATGCTACACCAGCATAAAACCCTCATGTAGACTTCTAGTTCAAGCTAAAATGACTCTTATGACATCATGTAGGTTGCTCAACCAGCCAAAATACCTCATGTACATGTCCTGACTAGCTAAATCCCCTCATTGTAAAGCTCTGGCCAGCTAAAATCTCTCATTCTCTTGCTCCCTTGGAGCCAAAATCCCTCACCTTTGTGTATTTAAGAGGCTCTCCTCCCAGTTGTTTTTCCCCTCAGTTTAGTACCCACAAATCACATACCCCCTACCATTACATACCATACCATTAACATTACATACTGTAACAACCCTTACAAACACCCTATAACAACCCTTACACTTGTAATACCCACTAAACTCACTCTCATCCTCTCAAAACCTCTTCTCTCATACAATTATATTGCGATCAAACAACTTATTCTCAAACCAACTACCCCTATCACTTGATTAAAACTTGCCAAGCTGAGCTTGGTGGGTCTTGTTATCTGATAGTACAGAAGGGCAGAGCTTGCAACTCCACCATACCCTTCAACATTCAGCAAAAGGGTTCTCAGAACCACTTTTGAGTCTTACAACGTGCCGATGATGCAATTTGCGCTCCAACAAGCTATTGGCAGTCAGGAGGTAATCCGCAATCTAGCTGGAGGAGAAGAGATGCTGAGGATTTGTGAGAATTGGATCACCCGAGAGGAGTTAGCGGACTTGGAGAGATCGGAACGAATCAACCCAACCCCTCAAGTTCAGAGATTAGCAATAACCCAACGAGCTCATTTGCATACCGTCAGCCCCTCCCCAGCGCCATTACCTTTAGCACGCCAGACCTCAGAAATCACGTACCTGGGTCGTGGCCAACAACCAGCGCAAGACCAACCACCAACCCAGAGACCGCAGACGGCTTTAAGCCAACATTTGGCTCAAAGCAACCAATTGCCTCCACCCCCGCCACTGTCTACTCAACCCCCACCAGCTTCAGCCTATTACAATCAGCGTCCCCAAAGGCAAGCACAACACCACCCGTACCATCGTCAGGGTGGCCCCCAGCACCAACAACAGTACCCCCAGCAACTCGTTCAGAACTACAAACAACACCATCAAGTGCAAGTGGCCCAGACACACAAGCCACAGCAAGGACAGTTTGTGAGCCTGGGTCTCAATAGTGACAGCAGGACACAATTGGTTTTTGGGGGGCACTTTTAAATGTATTTTTTAAGATAAAGGAAATACAAGTAAAAGTATAAGAGAGGGAAAGAAGAGAAGGAAATGAAGAGAATAATCTTTTTGTTCTTAGTTTATTTTATGAAGAAGATTAAGTTATGGCAGTCTTACTGTCCCTCTTGGATGGCTGCAGACAGTCTTACTTTCCTTAGTAGGATGGCTGTTATAAGCGGAGCTAACTCTGACGCCTCCAAATCAACAGAAACTGAAATGGGTATTGACACTGATGAATCAGGTCAACCACAATTTTTTAGATCAAAGATCAAGGCTCTTTAAAGGGAAACCTATGTAGTTTTCAGTTGTACTACCAAACAGGAGAAGAAGAGATAATAGAAGCTAGGGCTTGCTTTCTTTGATCAGGGCTTTGGTTTGAGGAGGAGTGATGAGAAACTGAGAGATACAGAGAAGAGAAACAATCAGAAAGATGCTAGCTTAACTTATGAGAAGAGACTTACTAATGATACCAATGACACTGAATAGTGGGAAAGGTAGGAAAAGTGAGGTCCTTCTGGTTGATAAGTGTTTGCTTGATCTGGGTCTGGTTGTTGGTGTTCTGTGTTGGTCTGGAGTCTGAAAATCCTCTGGAAGCGGAATCAACAAGCTCAGAGAGTATTTTCAAAGTTGGATGACATAATCATTACATGTACATGTGGTTGGGAGAGATGGAATTCCAATTTGGTTGGTATTTCACAAGGTACAGTGAAATGTTACAAAGTCCATGAAGGAGAAGAGTAGTGTAAAACTGGTCAGTGGTGACCATGGTTGAAATTAAATGAGGAATTCATTTCTGAAGTCAGAATGTAATAAAATCTTAAGCTGAATAAGTTATAGTTGGAACATGGATGAAAAGGGGGGACTTAGGCAGTCTTTTGGCCAGCTTGGCTGGCTCTAAGGCTGACACAGTTCCACCCCCCCCCCAACAAGGAGATTGGAGAGGATACCAGAGGAACTGGAGGACTCCCCGAAATCGGACGGCAAGATTGCTAGAAGTGGGGAGATTATCTGATGAGGGCGGAGAGAGTAGCGGAAGAGTTTCCGCTTTCGTGGAAGGAAAGAGGAAGGAATCAAGCCCAACGGCAAGGCTACCAACAACAAGAACACACCCCTAGATTCCCCTCACAGCTTCGACTCAGACGACTTATCTATTCAGTCTAGCAAAGAATCCCTTCTTCAAAATATCAATCATGATTTGTCCAGAGATTTCCCCTTGTTAATTGAAGATAGATTAAAGGATTTGTTTTCAAAATTTCTCTCTGACCTTTCAGGAGCAGTAGACTCTATTCCCAGTACCCTGCTAGAATCTTGCTTAAAAAATTTCAACCTATCTATGAAAAATTCCATTTCCAAGTTAATAAAAGATGAAGTTGTCCCTTCTTTACTTGACAAAGTGATTGATAACCTGAGTGACAAAGTGAGCAAAGAGCCAAGCAATCACCACTGTCCAAGCTATGTGGAAGAAATGAAAAAACATATTGACAAGAAGCTTGAAGACCTTCAAGACGTCTTGTTTGTGAGAGATACCCAAACTCACTCCAAGTTTGATAAATTGAAAAAGGACATGAGATCCACTGAAGAAAGAACAGCCAACAATTTTCAATATATCTCTACGCAAATCAGTGAGTTTGATATAAGTGAAAATAACAGATTTGAACAACTAAAGAGAAGAATGGGAGATGTGTGCCAGACCACATATGGTATCAATAACAAACTTGAGTCCATATTAGAGCCAGTAGATAGAGATCCTCCCCCTCACCTGAGATTTAACAATCCTCTTTTAAATTTTCCATCAGAAGCAGCACCCCAACTTCCCCCAGAAGAAACTGAAGTCAAATACCAGCAATCCAAAAATTCCCAGAATTTGATAACCCCCACTGAGACCAATAAAGAAGAGGAGGATTTGGCTAAATTTAACCAGAAAAGAGAAAACCCCCCTCCCTTTTGGGTTGAAGAATTCCCCTTTATTGATCATGGAGACATCAGCTCTGACGTGAGAAACCAACTATGGAAAGGCATCCCCAAGACAAGTGAATGGGAAAAATTCTCTGGAGAACTCCCCTACAACCATGAACTGTGGTTGAAGAACATTGATGTTTATGTACAAGATTACCTGATGACAGATGACATGGTAATAAGCAGGCTGACTACGTTGTTCACCAACACTGCAAAAAACTGGTACATTGGGATAAGAGACACGCATGGGAGGAAATCATGGTCCTGGTGGAAGCACACCATTAGAAACAAGTTTGGTACGCATAATTGGAAGTGGAAGATGAGAATGGAATTTGAGAAAGACTACTTCACAGTGGATAACAGAAAGGTTCACAAGTGGTTCAGCACTCAGAGAGAAAGACTTTGAGCCTACCAACCTGAACTGAGTGAATCTCTAGTATGTGAAAAAATCTTGAAGCAATGCCCTGGTTCTTTAGAGCATGCAGTAAAAAGCAGATCTAATAGAGCTGCAGAAGACATGAACTTTGAGGAAATGGTAATAATTGTTGAAGAAATCCTTGACAGAGCTATGGGGCAATATAGACCAAAGTACACTAACAGCCCACAAACCAATAGGAATTCCTGGAGAAACAACAATCAGAGTACCAAAGTTGAAGCCAGCAAGATTGAACCTGACTCTAAGAGACCCCCTCCATCTAATCCTCAAGCTGCAAAAGGGAAAGATGTTTGCCATTTCTGCAAACAACCAGGTCATTACACTAGGGAGTGCCCCAAAGTGAAGAACAGGATCAACAATGTAGGGTTAAACCCTGAAGAAGAAGACAAGGAACAACCTGATAATTGTGAATTTGATTCTGGCAGCCAATACGATAAAGAGGAGGAAACTCAGAGTGAAAACCATATGATCCTAGCCTTAGACAATGACGGTACTTCAGACCCTTTAATTGATTTTAATTTTGACGAATGCGCTGTAGAATGTGAAGTCACCAATGACTTTTCCATAGCGGAAATCCAGGCTGAATCCCATCAACCGCAGACCTGGGACAAAAGTTGCCGGACTTCCCACGTAGAAGATGCCAGACTCATGAGGTGTAAACCAGATAAAGGCAAAGCCCACTTGATAGGTAAATCAAACCTCACAAGTGTACTGATCAATGGTGAAGAATTCTCTTGTCTACTAGATAGCGGCGCTTCTTGCTCAATAATTAGCCATTCTCTTCTAGAATCCATCCTCCCTCAATGGAGAGAAAAACTGATGCCAATAAATCATGCTAGATTCCATAGTTGTAGTGATCAACTACAACCTCTAGGAATAGTAGAAATTCCTTTGATTTTTCCCCACACCAAAGGCTCAGTCGGAATTCAAACTGAATTTGTAGTCATGAAAAATGCAAGAATAAATTATCTCATACTAGGTAATGACTACATGTCCCTCTATGGTTTTTACATTACAAATAGTAAAGAAAGATTCTTCACCATTGGAAATGACAACAAAAGGAAGAAATTCAGCTTCAAAACTCACTCCAGTGAGAAGATGACCCCTTCAACAGAAACTTCCTCTGTCAAGAAATTAGACCCATTGCTGAGCAAGTTCACTACTGAAGAATTGTCAGATTGCAAAATATATGACAAGTTGACTGTAGAGCAAAAGGAGAAGCTATTTGAAGTGCTGTACCAGAACAAACTTGCATTTGCCAATACAGATCAACCACTAGGAGCCATCAGAGGACATGAAGTGCATCTGACTCTCACCACTGAGAGGCCTTACCCTCCTCTTCTTAGGAAACTCCCCAACCCTGCTAGTCCTAAAAGCAGAGAAGCCCTAGAGGAACATATAGAAGAATTGGTGAGACTGAATGTTCTGAGGAAGGTCGACCACAATGAGGTAGTAGAAATCACAACACCTGTGATTATTGCATGGCATAATGGTAAGTCCAGAATGGTAGGTGACTTCAGGTCTTTAAACTCTTACACGGCAGCAGACAGGTACCCCATACCCAAGATCAGTGAGACCCTCAATAACCTTGCCAAAGCAAAGTTTTTGACTAGCATGGATGTCCTGAAAGGTTTCCACCAGAATGTGATAGCAGAAGATTCTAGACACCTCTTAAAAATTATCCTACATAAAGGCATTTATGAATACCTAAGAATGCCTTTTGGCATCAAGAATGCCCCGTCACACTTCCAGCGGATGATGGACATTGAATTCAGAAAAGAGCTTGATGAGAAATAGGTAATAATATATATTGACGATATCATCATTATGTCCAACACTTGGGAAGAACATCTGATTAGAATCAGCAGAATCCTAAAAATAGTGATCAAGATGAATATGAAGATTTCCCTCAAGAAATGCAATTTTGGGTTCCATCAAATCAAAGCTTTAGGACACGTAGTCTCTGGAATAGCAATTGGCATAGATCAGAATAAGGTTGCAGCTGTCCTCCAAAAGCCTGTTCCCAGTAACAAGAAAGAAGTTCAATCTTTCTTGGGCTTTGCTGGCTATTACAGACAGCACATTAAAGATTTTGCTGACATTGCAAGACCACTTACTGAATTGACAAAGATGGAAATGGTATTTGAGATGACCTACCAAAGACTTGTTGCCTATAACCTTCTGAGAGAGAAGCTAAGCTCTGCTCCTCTACTCCTTTTTCCAGACTGGAAATACCCTTTCATACTATATGTAGACACAAGTATGACCGGCCTTGGAGCAGCACTCCACCAAGTCCAGACAATCAATAATATCAAGAGAGAAGGACCTATTGTTTTCATATCCAGACAACTTAAAGACAGTGAGACTAGATACGGTGCTAGCCAGCTATAATTTTTGTGCCTAGTATGGGCTGTAGAAAAACTACACTACTACTTGGACGGAAGTGTTTTCAAAGTTGTGACTGACTGCACTGCACTAAGATCATTGATGAATATGAAAACTCCCAACAGGCACATGTTGAGGTGGCAAATTGCAATCCAAGAGTACAGAGCAAATATGAGCATCAAACATAGAGATGGCAATATCCACAAGAATG